TCGAGTATAAGTCGAGTTTTTCAGCACATTTTTTGTGCTGAAAAACCCCCACTCGACTTATACTCGAGTTAATGTCTGTATTATGGCAATTTACATTGCCATAATACAGACAAGGACCGTCGGGCTCGTTACAAGCCCGGCGGTCCTGTTGGGGGCTGACAGTGAGAGGTTACTTACCTTCCTGCAGCTCCTGTCAGCTCCCTTCTCCTCCGTGCAGCTCCTCTGTCAGCTCCCACTAGAAGTCTCGCGAGGTAAGTAACCTCTCACTGTCAGCCCCCCCTCCTAGACAGCCCATACACTGGACCACCAAGGAGTGAGAGCCCCCCTCCCTGGCAAGCTAACAAGCAGGGAGGGGGGATGAAAATTAAATTAAATAATAAAAAATATACAATAAAAAATAATAAAATAAAAAACTTAAAATATTAAAATAAAATAAAAAACTTAAAATACTAAAATCAAATAATAAAATAAAAAACTTAAAATATTAAAATAAAATAAAATAAAAAACTTAAAATATTAAAATAAAAAAATTATAATAAAAATGCCCTCCTCCCACCCAGTTCACACACACACACACACACACACACACACACACAAACACACACACACACACTCCTACAAACACATACTCTGCATTAAATACACACACACTCATACAAACAATCTGCATTCTACACACACACTCATACAAACACACACACACTCTGCATTATATACACACAGAGTGTATGTGCGTATATAATGCAGAGTGTGTGTGTGTTTGTATGAGTGTGTGTGTAGAATGCAGATTGTTTGTATGACTGTGTGTGTGTATAATGCAGAGTGTGTGTATATAATTCTAAAAATCACAGAATGTCATAGCCCCAAGTTTTACCCTCGACTTATCCACGAGGCATAGCATATTTCACAATTGTTGGTCACAAAACTGCCCTCAACTTATACATGAGATCGACTTATACACGAGTATATACGGTATGTCAGTGTTTTTCTGTAAGTTTCCTTTTGTTTATTAGGGTGTCTGTCTGTATGACTGTGTATCTGTGAATGTATATGCATGTGTGTATCTGCATTCATGACTCAGCGTGTAACTGCTTGTGCTTGTCTGTATCTGTCTGTGTTTTTCTACTGTATATGTGTGTCTGTTAGTCTATGTATCTGTGAGTGTTTCTTCATATGCATGCATCCATGAATGTCTACATATGTGTCTGTATGCACGAATGTGAGTATATGTGTCTGTATGCACAAATGTGAATATATGTGTCTGTAAGTAATTGTTTTTTTTTGTATGTCAGTATCTATGAGTGTTCCTATATATGTGCCTCTATATGCATGTGTGCTGTGTCAGTCTGTATCACTGTTTTTATCTTTGTGTGTATTCTGTGACTGCGTGCATTTATATGCATATTTCCGAGTACATACCTCTGCATGACTGGCTTAGTCTATTTTTATTATTATAGTTATTTCTGTAAATTAATGCCTATGGGTGGCAATGAATGAGATGACCTCTAAACCGTTTTAAGCATGAATGAACATCTTGTACTTGAGTTAAACCACACTTTCTTATTCTTTTCCTATTTACTTATTATTTTCTTCTACAAGAAATTATAAGAAAGAAATGACAAGAAATTATTCTGTGTAAGAGCTGCCCAATCAGGGCAAGAATAATGTGAAGAGTAAAAGGAGGCAGCAGTGGCATACTAAGCGGGGGCTGGAGGGGTGACCGGCAGGATGGGAGAGCAATGCACAATGCTCCCCTCCTCCCGGTCACAAAATGTAAAGCGTGACTGAGAATGCACATGGTAGAGGTTCCCCTACCCGGTCTGAAAGGAAGTGCCCACTGAGAGCACAGAACTGCTTCCTGTCAGACTGGATAAGGGAAGCAGAGGCTCCTTTGACGCAGACTGAGCAGGCACAGGGGAGGGGGTTTAAAGATTAAAGAGGAGCAGGCATAGGCGTGCGCAGCCTATTGCATTAGGGTGTGCACCCTAAAGCACAAACACACGCCGCGCGTGTGTGTGTGTGTGTGTATATATATATATATATATATATATATATTCACAGACACACACACTCACAGACACACACTCACACTCACAGAAACACACACACACTCACAGACACTCACACACACTGACACACACACACACTCACTGACACACACACTCACAGACACATACTCACACACTCACAGACACACACTGACACACACTCACAGACTCACACACACATACTCACACACTCACAGACACACACTGACACACACACTGACACATACTCACACACTCACTGACACACACACTCACAGACATACTCACACACTCACAGACACACACTGACACACACACACACTCACACATACTCACACACTCACTGACACACACACTCACAGACACATACTCACACACTTACAGACACACACTGACACACACTCACAGACACATACTCACACACTCACACACACTGACACACACATACTCACACACTCACAGACACACACACTCACACTCACAGACACACACATACTCACACACTCACAGACACACACTCACACACTCACAGACACACACTCACACACACTGACACACACA